TTTTATGGGGGATCCAGACATCAACATCCTGAACATGTTAACCCTCCTGTTACCCACCACTTTTTCCATTGTCTCTCTAAAAAACAAATATCTGTTAAGGAGAAAAAGAGGCAAACTGCACAAAGTCTTTTGGTTGGTAGTACTAGCAGCCCTTGGTCTGAAAAACCCAATGTCCCTTAACATGAAGAAACTTGGAGGGACTGCAGATGGCGGCTCTGGGCTGCCCCAGGAAGCAGTGGATCAGGGCCGGTGCAACCCCACACTGCAGTTCCAATCCTCCCTTTTGCTGCCCCCAAAAGAGTGGCAAAATTCCGCTCCTTTCAGGACTGGCAAAAAGCCGCCTTAAGAGCTGGCACACAACTCTTTAGTGCCCTTTTCGGTGCAGCGTGTCAGAACACTGCGCCAGGAGGGCGTCCTGATGCCACGTGCCGTACGTAATGACATGCAGCATCAGGACAGTGTCAACATGGGTTGGGGCAGCCGGTCTGCAGCTGCCCTGCCCCAACTCTGCTTCCAGGCCGGCCCTTTGGGCTGGTCTGCAGAGGCTCTTGGTTCGCTTCAACATATGGTGGACCTATGAATGAGAGACATCCAAGAGCCCCAGTCATTTACATGTTCTGGGCCATGGCATCCCTGACTGAGGGCCTTTGCAGACTGCCAGAAATAGTGCAAATTGAATCCACTTTAACTGCCCTGGCTCAGTCCTAGGGAATCATGGGAATTGTATTTTTTTTCTGAGACATTGAACCTTCTCTGTCAGAGAGCTCTGGTGCCACAAGAAACTACAGTTCCCATGATTCCCTAGCACTGAGTCAGGGCAGTTAAAGTGGACTCAATTTGCACTATTTCTGGCAGTCTGCAAAGGCCCTATGTCAATCTATGCACAATGTGGTCTTCCTCATTTCCTACTGCCTTCCACTTTTCTGGGCATTGTCATCTTTTCCAAAGAGAAAGCCAGGTAGGTGTGGACAAGAGGAGGTGTACTCTTGTGAACTAATAGGTTGTCAAAGAACAGAAAATAAAAGAGTAGGAGTAAATAGGGAGCCTGAAAGGCCACCTTTTCTGATTTTCAGCTTTTCTGGAGCACAAGCTATTGTTGTGGCCACCAATCTGAATGACAAAAAGTGATGGCATGTCACTTCTGGTTGCCTCTCAGGCTATTTTAGAGGATCCCTCATGATGCAGAACACCCCAAAACAACATGCAATAGCCTCACAAAAGGTTTATTTAAAATCTTTTAAAGGTGTGTTTTCAGCTGAGAAACATATTTACATAGCAAAAAATAACTGGAGGGTACCAGGGCTTTGAGGAGTCATACTAGAGTTTCAGGGACTTCATGAAACCCACAGATCACATGATTCCTGCCCCTGAATTAAAGGAAGAGTTATTGCATGGAACAGGGGTAGGCAACCTTTCCCCTTTAAGGGCTGAGGGATTTCAGCTCCCAGAATCCCAGGAACTATTGGCCAACATGGCTGAGGTTTCTGGGAGCTGAAGTCCCTCGGCCCTTAAAGGAGAAAGGTTGCCTACCCCTGGCATGGAGGGATGTGAGAAGCAGAGTTTTCTGATGATGTTAACCAGGAACAGTGCTATTCAACTCATTCATAAATGATTAGGAGATTTGCGGGAACAGTGAGGTGTCCATGTTTGCTGATGACACCAAATTGTTTTGGGTAATAAAAACAAAGGATCTATCCAAACTCGCTGAACTGGTATTAAAATATCAGATGTGCTTCTGTATAAGCCAGTGAAAAGTGATACACATTAGGCCAAAAATAGCGTAATACTACATACATGCTGATGGAATCTGAACTAATGGTAACTGGGCATGAAAGGGATCTTGAGTTTTAGCTCTATAGTTCAATAAAAAAATATCAACCTAGTGTGAACTGCTGTGAAAAAGAAGATTAATCTCCATATTGGGGAGCATTAGGAAAGAACTGAAAATAAAGTTGCCACCATAACATTGCCTTTATATAAATCTCTTATACAGCCATACTTGGAGAACTGTATACAATTATTTTCCCTGTACCTCAAGATTGTAAAGCTGCTAAATAAATAAATATGACGAAGACAACCAAGGGACAACCAAAATGTTCAAGGAGCTGAAGCTGCTGCCACATATGGTACAAGGTGTTGGTTTTTACCTTTAAATCCCTACATGGCTTGGGTCCAACTTATCTCTGGGACCACCTCTCCCCGTATGATCCCCCCCCCCATGCGCTCTGGTCCTCTGGGAGGAACCTGCTGCAGCCTATGAAAACAAGGCTGTCGCCGACCTCCCAGAGGGCCTTCTCTGGTACCGCTCCCAGATTATGGAACGGCCTGCCGGATGAGATCCGTCTTATTACCGCTCTTGACTGCTTTAAAAAAGCAGTAAAAATGGATCTTTTCTGGCAGGCCTTCCTGGAATAAATCGTCCCAGCCCAAAACAGACAAGTCTTGGCTACCAGCTCCCCCAGCCGCCGCTGTTTGTTCT